ACTCCAGCAAAATAGCAGATATAGTTCACAGTCTCTACTACTATGTCTTCAAGGCAAGAATATACTTCACAGCAAACTCTCTACTACTACCCCATGGGGTTAAAGACCTCTGGCGAGAGAGATGCAGTTGCTCTTCTCTTGCAGTACTCCCTGTACTATCGGCTTAAAATAAAACGTGAACAAGAGAGCGCGTGGTTAAAGATTATAAAATATTGTGTGTTTCAAGAAATGTGTCCAATACTGTTTAAAGATCAGCAAACAAAGCTATTTTCTCGCTGTCTTCTCAGTTGCTCCTTGTGTAGCGGCAGGCATCTTAAAAAAAGTTCAGGAGATCATTTGGAATGGTAATTAGCAAAGTTAAATAGTTAACTTTTTATTCAGTGGCGTTTTGCAGTTACTTCAAATAGAAGAATTGACGTCCTTAATGCGAAAAACCCATTGTCGCCTTGAAATTTTAGAAAAGCTGCTTCTTGTATTAACTATGAAATAATGAATTTCACCTAAATTCTACGGTGAAACCGGAAGCAACAGGCTGAATAGGGCAACAGGCAGACGACTACATTGACGTAACTGTTCAAAACAGTGGTTTCCTGGGGGCAGCTCTTACCCCCGCGTGCTGTAATTACGAGCGCAGCCCACACACCCACTCAACAAAAATGTTTGGTGGCTTTTGTAACAACGCTTCCTTATTTCAGTTGCGCTCTTTCGCGTGTTTCGGTGTCGGTTTGGCTGCAGACTTGGAGAGAATGTTATTAACTCGCACTTAATACTAAAGGCCACTGTTCCGATATCTCAAAGCGGGAATTAGTATTTCGCATGAAGGTCTTCAATTCTCTTATTTGACTTGATTAGCTAACTATAATAGGTAAAAAGTTAAATATTGCAACTTTCCTAATTACCGTTCCCAATATTACTTTCAACCATCTTAAAATGCCTGCTACCATAAAAAAGCAACTGTGAAGACAGCCAGTAAATAGCACCTCTTCGTAATTTTTCAAGAATATTGGTCACATTTCTTGAAATACTGTTTATAGTACACGCCGTCTAGTCATCGCCAACTAGCATACATGCTCATCCGGCTTGGCGGTACTGTACAATTTACTGCAAACTTATTATTATTATTTTTAGCTTGAGTAGTTCTTATAATCTAGTATGATGATAGGCAACTAATTACCAGCATGGTCATGCCGAGTACATTTGGTTATTTCACTTTTATTTTCTCTCAGTTAGGTTTGGGAAAGCTTTATTTTTTCAGTTCTTTTTTTTACTTGATTCAGACCACCATAGGTAGTACATAGGTGGCAATATCGGGCTATATGGGGATCGAGAAGTGCTGTAGAATCAGATTTTCCCGTCTCTCAGTGGTGATGAGTGGACTACCCTCACTGTACCTGTGCTAATGCTTAATTCACGCGCCCCGCTGTTCACGTTTTATTTGCCACCGAGAGTACATCGGTGAGTGTAAGCTATTAATTAAAAAAAGAAAACATATATCCACAGTGCCAACTGATGTTTCAGTAAAGCATGCGGACACCTTCCTTCTACATGAAACGCTTCTAGTAGTTCCCTATATGTATCGACATCTTATACAGATGAAGACCTAACACTGCAGTTTAAAGACAGTTGAGCACTGATGAAATGGTAAGAACACCTGGTGGTAAAAAAATATGCTTCCACGTTTAACTTGCGATAACAGAGCGCGCGCCATGTGGTTGTGTCTAAATAGTGTATGAAATATGTGTGGTATGTACGGGGGCTAATGCAGTGGCTAGCAAACCACACAGTGTTCTATTAGCATTATGTGTGCTTAAAGCAGTATATGCCAGGCGGCAGCTCTACTCATGTCAATACAAACTGAGTTAAAAAGCGGACACCGTGGACCTGTACGCCAACATTTACACAGATGTACACTACCTCTTTTAGATAGCAGCTCTCAGATGCACAATCTGCGTCGATCGGTGTATGGCATAGCCGACAAAGGAGGCGAGGACGAATTAACAATAGAGAACGCGAAGCTCAACGCAGAATCAAAGGCGGCGATAGCGGGGAGGGCGTGAGGGGGAGGAAACGACAGCAGTGGATAAAAGGCTTCCCGGCGCTCACCCGAAATTTCATAATTAGGAGCGCCGTCGCTCGTCAACTTTTGTGAAACGTGCCGGCGCGCTACTTTGCGCGCTCTCTTCGTAAGCGAGGCAGTCGCGCTGAGCTCCGTCCGTGGCTGCTGATGTCAAATGGGCTGCACTAAATTGCCCAAACTAGTAACTCCACTCAACCTGTTCCCTTCTTCATGTAAACCGTGTACCTATATACACAATAGTCCAATAAGTTCTTTTTGAACAATGAGTGACGCAATTGGTGAAAGTGTATCGTCGGCCACTGCTGATAAGCAAGATGCCCGACCAGAGACTTAACGCCACCGACGCTAGTACACAAAGGTGCATGCGCCCGATGCACAAGCAATCGCCTCAAATTATCGCTACATAAGATCACCTAAACAGCTGCGGTCACAAAGCGCATGAGGCACTCTCGTACTTGTCGGTGTGAAGTAGGCCCAGCGGCTAAAGACGTACGTTCAAAGCCACACCAAAAAGCATTATTTCCCCATCATAGATAGCATCGCCAAAGCGCAATTCGATACGCCTGAATAGCGACATCAAGGGTGATTGTACGCGCAGCGCATTGTTTGAACTTATAAATCGCACCTTTTGCATTCCATGAAGTGCGGTGCGCGAGAGCACTGCTCCGGTTGCCGCCTCTTCTCGACGCATGCTTCTCTGCATGTTCTTTTGGAAGCGAACTTGTTGGCTCCACGGATGCAGACTCCCACCTGGTGACTGACAGATGACACGCAGTCTTTGATGGTGCTGTCGAAATAAAACTCATGTCGTGGCTCCTGGCAGTATGTGAATGCCGGCTGCTCGCAGGACATTATCCTCTGAGATTAGACGAGAAGACATTTCAGAATGTTTTACAATGGTTCATTGAAAACGTCTTGTTTAACGCAAACTTAAAATACCGTGTGCTTTCAGGACTTATGAATAAATGCAGCCACATTAGGCAGCGTTATGTGAGTCAAGCTTTCTCATATTTACTAATGAAGTGAACTTTATTTTACTTTTATACTAAGGAGGAAGCCGGGGCTAAAGGCTGGGTAGCGTGACAAAGGCATTGGCTTTATTTTACAGTTTGGCATGCTATGATTGACTTTTTTCATACGTCGACCCTGAGTCGCTCACTACACATCACGCTCTCAATCAAGTGAAGACAGTAAGTCGGCTCCAACAGCTTAATATAGGGAGCATATGTAACTGGAAAAGAAGACTTGATCGTTGTTTTGGTACTCTCGATGCCAACAGAAGTACTTTATATAGACGGGTGAGTGGGCGTCTACAGGTCTACCGTTGCTTACCAGCCATTAGAAGCGAGAATGTGATCTATGAATTCGTGGCACGAGAATAGGAAGTTTTCAAATGGAGCCCCCAAAAAATAGCGTCAAGGCCACTGCGCATGTGCGACACCCAAACCGCGGTTGGGTTTTGGGTTATGGGTGCTATTTCTCAAATTTAGCGGGAGCCCCTAAGCCCGCCCCCTAAGCTTTGCGTTACACAAATGTGATGGCACCCATTGAAGTGACATGACAGGGAATTGGGTGAGTATCCAAAGCGCCCCACGCCCTATCCGAAACGTCTTCGCTACTGCTTGACCCAAAGCGTGCATATGCGAAGAGCTTTGGGGCCCCAAACGTTTCGAAATCTCCCCAATATTGCAGTCGGCCGATGTTGTTCCTGTGACTGCCACCCGGCGTTATAAATCGGTAGTCTCTCCATGCACCAGCTATGACCCCCGTATATTGTTCCATGCACCAGCTATGGCCCCCGTATATTGTTCACTGTTTACTCAGGAAGTGAGACATTTTAAATTTTTTGCTACAACCTGGAAATGTGTAAATCCTGGTATCAACCGTCAGTCTGGAATAAATTCGCGCAAATATTATTACAGCTCGACCATTCAAGGAAAACGCTATACCCCTGTAATGGTCAGAAAAACGAGTACATAAAATAAACTAAATAAAATAAAAATAAAAAAATGATAATAAAACAAACGTAATATAAAATAAATTTTATAATAAAAATGAAATGAAATAAAATAGAAAAATAAATAAAAATTAAAAACATCATAAAATATAAAATAAACATAATCAATAAAATTGATAACAATAAAAATAAAAAATAAAATAAACTGGATCGCTTGATTTACAATAAATAGGAGAAATGAGTCTGAAATGCTTTGAGTATACACTGTTTTTGGCAGATTGCTCAAACAGAAAGTGTGCTGGTTGGGCAGATTTTTGGGTGCCTGTAACCGCCATGTAGACAATGTGAATTGTCAATGACAGCCTAGATACGCATACTATATTATACGCGCGAAGAACTTCTCTCATCAAAGAAAGGAAATTCACAGTGACATGGTGCTTCTCCACGTGTACTCTTGCTTCTAAAGAGTCTCGTTTTGCGCGCGTTTCCTACTTCTTTGGAAAGTGATGAAATGATGTCAGAAATGCCTGCAATCTGCTCTGTGCTGTTAGGCTGCCCAATGCCGGTCACGCTCGTCGCACGTTTAGGAGCGGAGTAGACAGGAGCACCAGACGTAGGAGCGCGATAACACTGAATTTCATAACCAAATAGACTACAAACTGAGGGATAATTATACCAAATTGATTCGGAATATTAATCTGATAACATTCAAATAGTCTTCTAATTTTAAGGCAACCACTTGCAAATCAGCCCTAGAGTGGTACTGTAAGCATTTTCGATATAGCGCGAAAATACCACAACAGTTGTGTAGAACAATTCACTAGCTTTCACAAAGAAGAAATTGCTGTGACTTTTAACCGACAAAAATACGACAAATATGTACTAACGCGGGCTTGTATGCAGCAGGAACTAAAGCTTTACAAAGAGATTATCACTGCAGCTTAAAATGCAGGCAATATACAAAGGTTACTTGGCATTCTACATGACCATGGAATTCAACATCAAGAGAGAATGAAGGTCACATACCATTAAAATATTAAACAATATTTATAAGCCAAAATTTTCACGAATGTCGTAATGCTAGACACTGGATTGATGAATATGTCACTTTGGTGACACAAGAGTTTAAGAAAGAACACCTGCATCCCATGATCAGTCCAGCGTCAATAGTTTTGTCTTTTCTGGGACTGCTTGCAGCTATTGGCAAATCAACGACTAAAGCAAAGAACGTTACTTCTCTCGGTTCCATTGCTGCATTGTATTAAAGAGGCGTAACAATCATGGTTTAGCAACACCACTATAAGATGTATAGGTACAAGTTCTAAATCCTGTAGACGTAAGTGGCGAGAAGCATTCATTCATACACTCCCATGAGCCAGTGATGCTTCATTTAGATTTTAAGCATGCTATTATTTACAAACTATAAACGAAGAAGATGTACAAGTAGAAATTGAAAAAAGAAACCTATCTTGTTTATGGTGCTTTTTTTGCCTTTACAGATGCCCACAGTCATTAAATTGCACGTGCATAGAAGCATGAATAAACATAACCACTTAATGCTTGGAAACTTACGTGTGTTTTCAGAGATGCTGATGGAGTGTCCTTCTCCCCCTTCCGACTACTAAATCTTTGAGTGCTGGGCTGACGCTCCGTAGTCATCTCGTCCCTGTCACCGTCTATGCTCGGGGTGGCGGTGGGGAGGACTTCGTCTGCGTTTGTGGTAGGCGCATCTGAGAACACCTCGGTAGCTCGCCCTAACTCAGCTGGTCCAGTCCCCTTGGTGTCGATTTCATTCTCGTGGGTCTCGAGTCCTGGATTTTCAGCATTGCCAGAAACCATGTGAGATGGAATAACGGGCAGTGCCCGTCCTTCTGGTTCCGGGAAGACGACCGCAATAGTGTTTTCTGGTGGCACTGGCAGCGTTATATCCTTTGGGCCATGGTACAGCGTGCCGTAGACATCCGTGCTCATTCCGACCAGCATGAGTGTCAGAAGTGCGGCCAGGAGGGTCATAAATGCGTACCGGCGCGACATGGATTGTCTGGAATGGCGCTGCGGCACCACGCCACTTCGTTCGTCCGCATCGAAGCCACTAGAAGTTGGAATCAGGCTTGATGTACCGCTAGACGTATGGTTGTAATGGCGGAAGTAGCGTTTAATATCTTCCGGAACCGACTGCGATGACCCACTGGCGGTATTCGAAAGCGCATAACCGCTGGTGGTCCCGGACTCAGCGTCGCTAGCTCCGGATGTTGCTGAAGATGACTTCACACTGGTTTCAGCAACGTCAGTGCTTTGGCTTCGCGATGTCGCCACCGATGATGTTTCGCTCCCTTCGGTTTCATCAGCAGATTCTACACTAGCAGTGACTGCGGTGGAAGTGGAAGAGTGGTTGGTGGTTGTCCCTTCTGCTGTGGTCGCCAAGGGAGGTGGTGCTGTACTTGGTTCTGGAGCGGGGGCTGCTTCATCAGGCTGGTCCATGGCAAACCTTAAGGTTTTCGTGGTATTTTCTTTCTGGGTCTTGTAAGTACTGAAAGGGTACTTGAGTATGCCGGTCCCCTGACGTGGCAATGGGTACGGAGGAGGCTGTGGTGAGAGCGACGCATATCTGTACAACGGCGGCTGGAACCGCTGAGCGTAATACCCGTCCATGGTAGTTATTGTTCTTGTTGCCCGTCACTTAGGGCTCATACCCACTATGGTAGATTCTCGCTTCTTCCTTTTCTACGCGGGAAGCTTGGTCAAGCACATCACGTAGGAATAATGATGATGATCGCTTGTGGACATGACACGCACAAGCAAAAGGCCTGTGGCAAGATTTTGATCATGTAAAATACCAGATAATGTTTGAATGTGGAAATGGTGGAGGACATTGAAAAACCAAACACCTTGAACGAACTATCACTCTTATGGACAACATTCAGACCAGGGGTGCTAAGAAAAATGATCCGAGCTTCTCGGGCAGACATAGTTGCTTGGAGCTCACTCTGCGGCACCTAGGCATGGATACAGTGTGGAGCGCGTGATAGCAGCGTTGATAAAAATTGGCAGATTCCACGTACAGTGGAAATCGCTCATATCCGAAGCACGAATGAGGATGGTTAATATGCCACCTTAAAAACGGCACAGCGTTACGAGGCGGGTGTATATTATGCAGTGCATGAGTTCCATGTCATGGTTATCATTTTTGAATGTGTCACCTACCTTCATTACCTATTCACATCACGTGATATCAACATTGGTATGTGTAGAGCTAGCGAAACAGCCGCGAGCGCCTCATGAGCGTAGCATGTTGTCTTCTTTTTATGACACGCATGTCATGATTATCACGTTTGGACGTGTTATTTGATTTTGTCGCCTATTCACGTAACGTGATACTAAATTTGGTATATGTTGAGCTAGTGAACAACCGCGAACGTGCTATGAAAGCAGCATGCAGCCATGCGTTACATGAAACGCATTCCATGATTATTTTGTTTGGACGTGTCATTTACCTTCGTCGCCCATTCACGTCACGTAATACCAAGTTTGATATACGTGAAGCTAGCGAAACGACCACGAGTGCACCATGAGCATGGCATGTAGGTATGGTCTTACATTACACGCAACTCATGATTATTATGCTTGCACCAGTCACATACCTTTGTCATTCATTCACGTCGTATGCTCTATTAAAAATGGAGTGAAGTTCTCTTCATTTACGGAGAAATGGCGATGTCCCCACTGTTCGTCTCTAAATGAAGAAACGTTGCTTCCTTTTGCCACGGAGAAACTGTTTCTCCACATCAATATGAAGGTGACTGACCCCGGGTTAGCGAAGCGAGTAGGCATAGCAAATACATCGATTCTCGACTACTAAAGAGTACAGGGCACAGACTTACAAAAAATTAGGGGACCTTTAAGCTTCGCCTTTAAGAGTTGAACGCGATCGCGAAATCCGGCCCCTGGAGCACCCTTCGACCACTAAGTGCACACTTATTAATATGTTGTGTTAGTGCGAATGTTACAAACAGGTTTTTCATCTAAAGCAAGAGTCGCATGGCCTCCAAGATACACGCCGCGCGCTCGCCATCTCGGAGGTCATAAGCAGTCTCACAATGCATTACAGATAGCAGCAAATTATCTAGCATTTGCTGGTTGCTTGATCAACGCCTCTGGAAAGGCATGATATGTGTTCCGCTAGATGGACATATTTGTCGATTTTTAGAGCTGTTTGAAAGTTCCTGTGTGTATTTAGCGGCAATGGCTTCACTATGCTGACATTTTTCGACGTAGTTTGAGGCTTCCCAAAGGCCGACAAATCACCGAATGGGCCCGTTTTTGTCATGATACCTGTCGAATGGAATGCGTTAAAGGGGCCCTGAAAAAGTTTTTCAAGTAAACAAGAATGAATTCACTAGACGAGCTTATTGACTCACGAATTCAAAGCCACAAAAATTCTAAGAATCTGTTTCGTGCAAGTGAAATTACAAAAAATTGTCGCATGCTGCAATTGCATTATCTCTTTTCTTGTCCCGACGAAACCACTAGAAGCTAAGCAGGGAGGGGTGGCAGGAGCAGAGAAACTACCGCGCTTTGTGAATTTGAGCACTTTTCTTTAATGCGTGGCTTTACCGGTGGGATCGAGTGCGCACGCGTGAACAAGTAGCGGCGTCCTGGGGCTATCCAGTGACTTCATAGTTCAGTCACAGATGCACAGACTACTTTTGGCTCACAACCAATGGGGCCGACACAACCAGAGGGATTTCTGCGGCATGAGCTCTACAACGCTATCGCTTTAGAACAGTCCTGCTGAGCTTATTATTGAACGAAATGAGTATAAAAACAAGCAGACGAACCTGCGGTGATGAAAACATCGCGAAACAGAACGATGGAGCTAGTAGCTTTCGTTCGGCCAGTGAGACGACGTTCACTTTAAAAGACACGGATACTGTGGAGTTCTCACCCGGTGGGTGCTTGTTAGGCTCGCTGTATTTATTTCTCGCAGATTCTCATAGTGTAGCGACGCTGTCCACGCGTTTACGGGGGCCGCAGGCCACGAGATGTGCCTCCAAACCGTAGACTCGAACGCAGTGAAGCCATTCCGGCTCAGTAGTGCAGTTTCGATAGAGAGATGGTCAACGTTATATAAGTAGCTGGAGGTGAGCGAGTGTCACAGCCATAAAATAGGTCGTAGCTGACGCCATCTGGAGCGACTGAACGATACTAAAAAAAAAGTTGCCTGTGGCGTTGTACCTTGACACACCCACACGGCTCCCTAGCGGATAGTTGGTGAGTCAGCATATTCAGTGATTACTTACTGATACCGGACGCCTAACATACGCTGATGCAAAGCATATAGCTACACAAGTACATAAAGAAACATAGTATACATACATACATATAGAGTGAGCTCAATGAGCAAGAGTACAATAAACAATTCGCCACAGCAGCACGCACTTCCACGTGTTTACTCCATCATCGAAAACGCACAAGCTCATATAGCAATGAATTTTGACTGATCATAGCGGCAGAATTGACAAGTAATTTTTAGCCAACGTTATTACGTTTCGTGGTCGTACCACAACATGCGCACACATAAAAATATTGCATCTGATTCTTAGACAATTGGAAGTTTCTCAACGGTTGCGCAATGATGAACGGAAAAATTAATAGACTTTATCAGGTTTCCGAGAAAACGATGACTCAAGTCATGCATTGAATGCCAACAGAATTCTGAAGACTGCGTCATCTATCGACCACTGCCACAGACAATTTTTTTTTGAAGTCTCAGAGAAGAGAAAGGCTTGCCGCACGCTTTCCATTTCGGAGGTCCCGTCTTCTTTTTCTTCCACTTGTCACTCAGAGAGGGCGCAGCATGCAGGCCAGACTTGGTCTTTGTTGTCGCGCCGACTTCGTTTAGTTGTTTAGTGTTAACGTTTGCTTGTATTCTATTTACATGCTTTACACAAGTACAGTATATAGTACACAGACATACTGTACACCACTAGCCCTTCAATGACAATGTTTTTGATGTGGTAACGGCTGTCTCAGTAATGTATATGTTTGTTACAACGCGGGTCGTGCGAGAGAAATAAGAGATGACCTCGCACCCAATGGTGTTCTTTCCTGATCGATGGCAGTGGTTATTGGCGTTGCGGCAGCTCGATTACATGAGTGGAGAAACTAGCGCTACAGTGCGCGAATTTACTATAACATTATAACATGCTGTGCCTACATACTTCTCAGCTTCAGACGCGTCTCGTGATTCACCTCGGGTGTCAACTTGTGGTCATTGTGCGTGCCACAATTGTGTTGTTAGTGCTGTGGCTGCGGTGGTTACTATTACTCTAGATTTGAAATAACGCGTTCACAGAGGTGAGTGAGAGTGTTAGCACTTACCAGCTGTGCACAGCTGTTACTACAAGAATATTTTGTGATGAGTTTAGACCGACAAAGGAGAATAATGTGGACGAGAGGGGCATACTGCACGCGTGCATAATTCCGTCCTAACTCTCGTTCCTACGTGGGAGCGGCCCGCGATGTTGCTCTGAAAGAGTAGCGTTTCTCAGGACCCAATAAAGTTCTTTGTCTGTCTGTCTGTTTCAGTGCTGGCATGGGCAATTCAAAACGCATGCGATTGAGAATTCGGTTTAATTGACAAAAGCCGTTGGCTTACTTTTCAGAAAAGTGTATTTATGATGATGTTTACAACGTTCCTGATGATTGTAACCCAGTCTGGCAAATAAACGTTCGGTGAAAATTTGCAGCTCGTTTCCCTTTGTGCTTTCACCTGCCTTGGTAGCATAGCCTCATTGGGTGTCGTGGGACTATGCTTGAGGGCACAAGTTTGACGCCCGGCCACTGCGGCCATATTTGGATGGGGGGAAAATGCAAAGGACACCTATGTGCTTTTGTTTGCATTCAGGACAAAAAAAACTTCAGTGGGTCAAAATTTATCCACCGACCCCCACGATGGCGTGCCTGACAATAATATGGTGGCGGCAGCACTTATAACCCCAGCAATTGTATATGATCGTGCTTTCACTGATGAACTGCGCAGTGTTATCACGTTTTTTAGAGTGTTGAAGAATTAACTGTGATGCGTTTTTTTGCACCTTGTAGCCCCGACGCGGTGGTCTAGTGGCTAAGGTACTCGGCTGCTGACCCGCAGGTCGCGGGTTCAAATCCCGGCGGCGGCGGCTGCATTTCCGATGAAGGCGGAAATGTCGTAGGCCCGTGTGCTCAGATTTGGGTGCACGTTAAAGAACCCCAGGTGGTCGAAATTTCCGGAGCCCTCCACTACGGCGTCTCTCATAATCATATGGTGGTGGTTTTGGGACGTTAAACCCCACAAATCAATCAAATATGCGCCTCGTAAAATTGATAAGTGCTATTCGTGCCGTGTGAAGCTAGAAACGCGTATGCTCACCAAATATGTCAACACCAAAAAATCGTTTTTTTGTGTACAGTCTATGGTAATCGATAAAGCAAGGCTTTTTATAGAAGCAGAGCTCCTTGCACTCGTGACAAATTGGTAGTGTGAAACAACACGAGACACAAGCAAAAGTGTGGGGGAGAATTGTGCGAGTTCCTGGTGATAAAAACAAAAGAAGGGTTTTAACAATGAAACTAAAGTGTAAACGCCACTCCCGCATTGCTTGCATCAATCG